TTCGTTCTTATCAACAGATGTATTGGTAGATCGCCTTTACTCGATTGGGTATGGTAGTTAACGTTGTTAATACCAAGGACAATTCCTTCGATATCCTCCAGTGAACTAGTTTGACTACATAGACAACTGGGTAATTTGTTATGATCTGCCACAGGTAGTGGTTTCTTGCCTTTTCTCATAGGATTTACAAAATACGATTCACGGTAGAACGTTCTACTCGTTGATTCCATATTTGTTTGATTCTGATTGATGGCGTTTCGTTTTGGCCTTTGCTTGTTTACTCTAGGCCATTTGTTCTTTCCACGTACTTTTGTTGAAGCTGCATTAGCATTATTTACATCGGTAGCATGCCATTTTGGATTAGAGCTCTTTTCCGCTGAATTGTTCATAACATGATCATCATTCGTTGGCTCAACTTTAACCTTAATGGTGGTTAATTTGTTGACATTCGGTTTGGTTTCTTGGAAATGATTATTATGGTTATAAACAGTAGCAGAACTACCAGTAGTAGGTGTATCGACCTGAGTGTCAGTGGGTTCTAATTTTATAGTAGGCTTTGAACCAGCAAGCTTACCATACGATTGTTTTGACTGATTGATATTTTCATTTCGATCACGTAAATCATCCGTTAGATCGCTTTTGACGCTTTCTTTACAATCTTCAACTTGTTCAATAAAGTCGCTTGAAATATTTCCTGCTAAATCTCTACCACTCTCTCCACAATTATTCCTCTTATCCCAGTCAGCACCATATTTTAATAAAAATCGCAAACGGTGTATTTTTTCCCTTTGGGATAATGTACATGCTCTAATTAACGCCATGATTAAAGTATCGCCACGTCGATTAGGATAACGCCGATTGACATCAATACGACGCAATTTTAATGCTACTAGTCTGAGATTGCAATCGACGGTAATAATTTGTCGAAAAATCAATTTTAACGTTGTATCTTCATAGCCCAATTCTGTATGATTTTGTTCCATGTATCGTTTTTGATCTTTATGTGATTCTCTATCACGAAGTGCTGCTCGGAATGCTTGTCCATAACTTGATTCTTCAATCCATTGAACTAATTGTGGACAGAATTGGTATAAGACATCGATAGCACTAATGTTGCCGCTATCCGTAGCATTCCAATCAGCATTGCAAT